CACTTCATTCGAGCGCATAGGATCGTGCTAAGTGCACGGGAAGGAAAGTTACCTGTCACCCCACGATTCAGCTACAGATTTAAAAGTCTGTGACCTACCATTGGGAGAATTAAATTGCGGGTTTTAGTCTGGTTTATAGAATGAAGACAGGATCGAAAACGTCAACGAAACACACTTCGTGTTTAACATAGATAATGGAAAGACACTTGGACTTAAAGGAGACAAACACGTCAAGTATGCCGGTGTGATTCTCGGGATGAGCCTATCACCATGATGGTCAGAATATCTGGAGGGAAGAACGCGTGCATGCACCCACCAATGATAATATTCAAAAATGTTAACCGTTCATACCCAATACGGGGTGTCTATGATAATATGCCTGGCGTGTGCTATCGAACAGGGGCTAAGGGATGGATAGATGTTTCAGTTTGGTGCTCTTGGCTATCGGGACAACTTGCCATAAAAGCTCATCCGAACTGTGAACGACAAGTGCTTTATGTGGACAATTGTTCTTCACATACGAGCGGGAGTGATGTGCAGGCCTGCTTGCAAAGCATTTGCACAACCATGCAGAACCTACCACCTAATGCCACCCATCCAATTCAGCCTGCAGACGCCGTCATTATACAAAAGGATTAAGGAAGCGTGGAAGCAAAAGTGGGAAACTTTTAAGTATGAGTGCATTAAGTCAGGCGAGTGGATGGATTTGAGCAATGGAATTGGCAGCGGAACGCTTAAGAATCCTGGAAAGAGGGTTTTCCTCAAACTTGCCGCAGACTCAGTGCGTGAAGTGGATGCTCTCCGTGATAAAAATGGCGTACAATACTCCAGAAAGGCTATGATTAGGACCGGCATGCCGTTAAATTTGAATGGGCTTGGGAAGAATCCCAGCTAACTGATGAACTTCAACAGATCATAGCCAAGCATCGTCGTAATTTTGATGGAGAGCCCGTCAATGTTGCGGACATTGAGATAGAATCTGAATCTGAATAAACAATCAGTACAGTAGTTAACATTGGATTTATCCACGACAAATTTAAACCTGCATAAAATGCAGGTTCATAAATTATATGATGTGGTCCACATCTTTTATGCACCGCACCTATTTGGTGTGGGTGCTTTTTTATTGTGGCCCACCACATATGTTGAGACCCTGTTATATTTCTATGGTTCCTTTTTGACATGGCCCACTGTAGTACCGGTGATCGGTGTAGCTGTCTTGTCTTCTGCATCGACAGTAAGACGGGAGTCGACCTACACGTTACTCTCTCTAGTCTCGAAGTAAATACTTTACCGAATTATGTAATACCATTGCGAGAAGGTGCACATGTCATTATATCTCACCGCCGGCTGGTCAGGATGCCACATGTCCCTTGCCGAGAAGGATATCGTAGTGGTGATAATTTTCGGCCCCATTGATGCCATGCCATATGACTCTCATGCCTGCTTCACAATTAGTGTACAAGACTTTAGTGATCCTTCAAGCTCCTTCTCTCTGACGAAAGGCCTGCCCTCGAAGAGCCACCGTGAACATGGCATGATCACTTCTTTTCATGCGAAGTGTTGCTATGCAGTGTAAATACTTGTCACCAAGTGTGATACTGCTTTTGCTCCAGTCATGACAGTTTTAATCCTTGTAATTGAAAATGAGAGCAGAGATACTTGTTCTCTGGTTGGTCGGTAACAAGGAGCATCGTGTACATGCTAACATACATTCATACAACTATGAGAGAGAACAACAAACGCACTGACTTCGCATGTGTAGCCACCTCTAGTGAGCAATGTAAGTTGCATATACTACAATACCGCACATGATTACAGATCCACGTCAAAAATTTGAGCTGCACAACAGATTGTTCTTGCTCCTCTCTAGTGTATAATGCTTTAGCACAATCACTGGTAACGTAGCACCGAGGTAGCAACGCACAAGTAGCACTCTAACCCCATTGTATGTTTTTGTTGATATGCAGCAGGAATGCCGCTTTCACAGAACAGCAGTGTGAATGATTTGTATAGAGCTAACTTGGTGTAGATTTTTGTTTTCTCTGTATACTGTACCTTGCTAGTTGTTCTCAACGCCAGCAGACCACTTTTGCGTATGGTCAGTATCGCGTTGTAAGGCCAGGGCTCGAGTTTTGAGGTGTACAATAGTAATGTTTTATAAGCAAGTCCCGTTCTCGAGACCGGGGAAGGGTGCACTGCTGGGACAACGTGACCAGAAAAATGCGTTGTTTTGCCTCCTTGAAAGTGTACCTGTACGTGCAAGCATTTTTCCCAGCTCCGTAACGCGGATAAATTTCTTCTTATAAGCGATAGACGGACGTAGCAGTCCGAGGCGCAATCGTAAAGGTCGGCACGTCCTTCGCTCACCAAAACATCAACTCTACCTCGTATCTGTTGTTAGACTTTTGAAGCGATTCGAAAAAGTCTCCAAGATGGGTTTGGTCGCACGATTTGCAATCTTGTTCCTCTCTATTCATGTGGTATTGGGGCACTCCCTCCTGGGGGAACCACAACCAATGTCAGCAAACGTAGGCGACGACAAGCACAACCTTCCCTCTTTCTTTGGTGCTCCATATTTTCCTACGTTCGCTGACATGTACTCATTCTATCGTTTCTTTTTATGCGCAGCACTGTCGTCTGGGGGGCGTACCAGACAACGCCGGGATCGAAACATGTCCTGGTCCTTGTGACATGAGGCCGCTGTATCGTAACGGAAGGGTCCGCAAGCCGAAAGCAACGGCGACATACGAGCGGGGAGAGCTAGTGAAGATCAAATACCAACGTAACAACCACGGCCCTGGGGGGTTCGTTAGGCTTTCAATAGTGACGATCGAGCAGATGATGAACAAGACTGCTCATGCGGCGAACGCGTTCCACTTCGGCTGCTGGGGTGACTATACAATAACGGGTACGAATAAGGACAAGGGGCGGCGAGGTGGAGGATTCTCGCTGGTGGGTGGGGACAAAGCAAACCCCCCAACCTACTACGAGACTCGGGCAGTTATTCCTCCATGCATACCCGATGGGATTTATGTGCTTGGGTGGGCGTGGTATGGGGGGGTCGGAGGATCGTTGAAGCAGAATACTGCGCGAAGCCCGTTTAGAGAAGGATTGTTCGCAGATTATTGGTCCTGTGCATTTGTGGAGATTAGCGGCGGGGAACCTCTGACTAACAGTTGTACGCCCGTGTTTGTGAACCCGTTAGAGCGATTCTGGCCTAACGGGTGTAACGCAGCGACAGACCGACCGGGTGTGTGCACTTATGAACCGTGCCGGGGACCTGCAAAACAGCAAAAGCCGATGGAGTTTGCATCCGGAAACCCGCCACCAATCAGGCAAAACAACTTTATGGGCCCGGATGGCCGAGGAGGAACAGACAGCCCAATTCCGACATTAGTACCAGACGAGGAGACGTTTGAAAACGCGGTCGGAGCTTTGAAAGATTGTCAAGCGGAGTTGAAAGACCCGCCAGAGGAGACGGAGAGAGGGGATACTACTCAAGTGCTAAATGATCTGTACGAATGTCGAATAGACCTGGGTGGGATGGAGGACATGGGGCCGTTGATGGCCGAGACTTAAGATGGTGTACGAAAGTAGAAATGGGTTGTGTTAGTGGGGCCTAAGAGATTAAACAACGGTGTTTATTCTTACAGCGTTGACTATTTTATGTTGAACTGCTCATATCGTAAGCACTCTTTGTTTGATATATGCAATGGATTAATCAGTATATCAGCGATTCAAGTGAAAGGCACAAAACAGTGTAGAATGTATGCGTTTGCCGGTACCCTTGGGTACCTTACCCTTGGTACTGTATGTCATGCCGCAGTACCCTTGGGTACAGTACTGTAGTAGTGTTGTGTACGCTATGGCAAGAGGGTTATGCAAGGTATGACAAGGCACAGTGTGGGGCGCCTTAACAAAAGAAGAAGTGCGCACTTTTAACCGCGCTCGTGAGGCGTGTCAATCATTAACGAGGATAAGATATGTTTTGAAAACCCCCTTCAGTGGGTTTTACTTACTGTCAGAAAAAAATGCCTCTCCTGCGACGCTCGCCACTTTTAGGTATACAGTACACTTGTAGTAGGTTGGTGGGCGCGTGATGTCGACGAAGACGGACGGGATTTGAACCCATGACGTGAGCCGATGGTGGCACTCCGAAAAGTAAATCCGGATATTTTGACATTTAAACTGATGGTTTGTTCGCCTGGTGCGTTTATCAGGACGAATCCGCGATGTGCCTGGCACAGGCCATATGCCCGCCGCTCTGCAGCAGCACCGTGCTGCACCAGGCGTAAAGTAACGTCGCGGCACTCCTCGATGTCGACAGCGTGTACCCGTGTACTGTACGTAGGTCTACAAAAATAGTCCCCGCTCCTCCAAACCCCGCCCATCACCCACCCGCCCATCACCAACCCGCCCGTCGCGCGGTGAGTTGGTAATATTTTTCGACTTGATGCGCCGGGCGGACTGGCGCTGGAGCACACAACAGGCCTGCTGCAGGTCTCTGCCGTTGAGGCTCTGATTGCTGTGTACAAAAAGGCTTTTCCATCCATAATTGCAAAAGCTGCAAATTAACTATTGCTGCATCCTTCGAAGGGTACCCTTCGAAGGGTATATGCTCTGCCATTCCGGATTTTGCGGGAATCGAGGCTGCGGAGAGAGGTTCAAAGGCTCGAAAGGACACCAGTATCACTGCGTCGATGCGATCACCTACCCTTCGGTAGGGTAGTTGCTGCTTGCACATCCTCTATCGCCCAACACTCACTATGCATCCACCGACAATTACAATTTCTGTACACCCACTGAAAAAAAAAAAAATTCAGTAGCCGTTGCGCCTTGATTTCGCTCGCAACTTTTCCGATTTTACCCGTCTGTTGCCACCAAAATGCACCTAATCGCCCCCCTAAACGCAACATTATTTCAAAAAAAGCCCTCCCAAAATCTCGCTTCTCTCCGCCGCTAATGCTTCCCCTTCCCCCCTCCTTCCCCGCCACACCATGTCCAACCCCTGCACCCCCCCCTCCGCCACCCGCGCCGCGCCCTCGAACCCACCGCCAATCCTCCCGCCAACCCCGCGCCGCGCGGCGGTAGCCCTCGACAAGGCCCTCAACTACCAGGTCTGCATCCTCTCCGGCACTGCGAACCGCCCTCTCGCGAGCGAGATCGCCTCGCACCTGGGCCTGCCGCTGGCCGCGGCCACCGTCTCCGCCTTCTCGGATGGGGAGACGCGCGTGGCCATCGACGACTCCGTGCGCGGCAAGGACGTCTTCATCGTCCAGCCGACGGCCCCGCCGGTCAACGACCACGTCATGCAGCTGCTGCTCCTCGCGGACGCCCTCTCGCGCGCCTCGGCCAAGCGCATCACCGCCGTCGTCCCTTACTACGGCTACGCGCGCCAGGACCGCAAACGCCACCCGCGCGTCCCCATCTCGGCCCGCCTGCTCGCCAACCTCATCCAGGCCGCCGGCGTCCACCGCGTCCTCGCCTTCGAGCTCCACGCAGGTCAGATCCAGGGCTTCTTCAACCTCCCCGTCGACCACATCTTCGCCATGCCCATCCTGCTGCAGTACTTCCAGGACCATCCCGCGCCCCCGCGCGACGCCCGCCTGGTGGTAGTCTCGCCGGACGCGGGCGCTGTTGAGCGCGCACGGAGGCTCGCCAGCGCCCTGGACGCCGCCCTGGCCATCATTTACAAGCGCCGATCCGCCCCGAATGTCGCCCACGTCCTGTGCATCATCGGCGACGTGCGAGACGCGCACTGCCTCATCGTGGATGACATGGTCGACACGGCGGGCACGCTATGCAATGCTGCGGAGACCCTCAAGGAGAACGGCGCAAGGTCCGTCAGGGCGTGCTGCGTGCACGCGATCCTGTCTGGGCCGGCCGTCGAGAGGATTGCAGCATCATGCATTGAGGAGCTGGTCGTTACCAACTCGATCGAGATCAAGGAGGAAACTAAGGCCGCGCTGCCCCGTATTACCCAGCTATCGTGTGGGAAGCTTATTGCGGAGACTATTCGGAGAATACACCGCGAGGAGTCGGTTTCTACCATGTTTACGTCAGAGTAGGTGGAGCCTTAAAGATATGTAGCGTGAAACTAACTTGGTTGTGTACATAATATAGCTGTTTACTTTGAGGGCTGACAATTCCCGTTGTGACGTGACAATATTCCGCGACGGCGCAGCGTTTTCCGGCGCGTCATATGTGGAGCGCGCCGAAAGAAAGATCAGTCAAGAGCCTGCAACAGAAGTTCTGGGGGCAGAGCACGAGGGCGTGCTTATAATGTCCGTTGTGAAAGGTGAGCTTTAGCGCTAAGAATTATCGGTTGGAGAACAAATCCATTCTGGTAGCCTGGCTGCCTTCGTCTATCTGGCATTTCCAAACTGTACCCAAACCGTGTGCTGTCTGTGTGAAGAGTAAATCAACTACGAGGCGGCTACAAAAAAAAAAACGTCTACCGCTGATGGGGGTGCTCTGTGGCAGACGCCTATCATGAGACTAGACAAACTTCGTCTTTCCATGCGAACCTTGCTGACATAGCAGTGGTATCGTTCATGTTAATCAACATTGGCGACGTGCCGATGAGGTGCCGTCTAATATCTCATCGCTTTGCCTTTTGTTTGAGTGCTGCGCTGCAAGCACTATGAGCAGAGAGTCATCGTTGTACGGCGACAGGCAGGTAATCACTACAGTAAGTAGCTTCTGTAATATACCCTACATCATCCAATCATCTGCCCTACCAGTGTTTCGCTCATGACCTGGCGGGCAAGAGTCGTTTTTTTTACGAATGGCGATGCTGAACGTAGTTCAATCTGTTGAGGAAGCCGTGTGGGGAAATCATTTGTTTGAAGGTCTCATCATGGAACGTCTCCATACAACCCCAAACATCTTAAGCTGACTGTAATCGAAGAGTATCACGGATGCTGTTCAGCAATGTTGTCGCCTTGTTGCATATTCTCGGAACCAGTCCGATAGAGGCGAAAGGGATCGGAAGAAGTCATAGCTGGGACGGCAGGTATGTACCCTGTTTCCAGAGATGGCACACAGAAAAGAGGCCGGGGCATCATGCGTCATAAGATGGATCAGTTTCGTGGAAGTCTATGAGGGTTGAGAAGAAAGGACATGAACAACATGGGAGTTATGCAAAGCTGGTATGCCTCGAAATAGCATGAGCTTAAGCGGAATGCTGCTGCTTATGCGTAAGGCTTTTTCAGCCTGCGAAAAGGTGATTGGACTGTTCTGTGCCTGACCTGTTCGAAGTATGAGAGATGGAGTAATGTTAGTATCGTTGTTCTAGCGCCGTCCACGTGAGGATGATAAGTGAACTTTCAAAATAATTTTTACATCGTCAGGTGTAGGAAGTACATTGGTTGTGACCTACTTCAGTATTGCTTCCAGTAATGCTTATGTTCATGTCGAGTTCTTCTGTCTGGTTTCCGGTATATGCACACAAACGTGCAGGATGTACAGTATGATATACATCTGGCATACATCTGGCATACGTCTGACATCAGAATGCAATGCTTGAAGAAGCCGACACATGCGTGTTGCCTTTCACATCCATTGTTAAGGTGTTGTGGTACAAGAGGATGGGCTTCCATGGTCAGCTGGGCGCGTGTGTTTCTGAAAGAGGTGCCTTTTTCGGAAATCCTTGGCTTTCTTATCTTATTTGGCCGTGAATTATCCAGTAATGTACAGTAGCATTCCCTGTACCGTGTTGTAAGGGTGTTGTTGCCTACTTTGCACATGTGCACGCAAGTAGGGTCGTATGAGCCCCAATATAGGCGAAATAGAGCTTGAGGCATGCGAAATCGAAACTTAACTGGTTGACTAGAGCAAAATGAAAACCTAAGATACGTCCTACAGTAAAAAGCACTAAAATTGCACCACGGTGAACACAAAAGGTGGCAACCCAAATTCTTAACTCTTACCGTAGCGAGGGCGTTACAATATAGACGTGTACAGCAGTTGTTCCATTCTGTGAGGGTTGAAAAGCCATGGGTGGCGCGGGGCTGGGCGATGTCAAGCGGGCACTGAGACGAAAAGTGCCACTATTACGGGCGGTCAGTGAAGGTAGATATTTCTCTGCACTCACTATCAATAGAGTACAGTAGCAATGCTATTGTTCGTGACGATATGACGTCACGGAGCATTTTTCACTCAAGTACAGATCCCTGGCCAGTGATGACGTCTTGTACAACGATTCTCGAGTTGTTACAGTCCATCCAGCAATTTGGCTTTTAGGACATCTTATTAAATAGGAGAGCTGGAGATCGGCCTACAAGGACCCCCGACCCTCGTGCAATTGTTACATTCAATATTCAATTAATGAAGGACCAGTTTCTCTTCCTTTTTTTTTTTTTTGATCGAGCCTCATCCTCCAAGGATATCTCTACTGGACTCGATACCCTCTTTGCTACTAGCTGTCTTCTGCATCGACGGTAAGACGGGAGTCGACCTACACGTTACTCTCTCTAGTCTCGGAGTAAATACTTTACCGAATTATGTAATACCATTGCAAGAAGGTGCACATGTCATTATATCTCACCGCCGGCTGGTCAGGATGCCACATGTCCCTTGCCGAGAAGGATATCGTAGTGGTGATAATTTTCGGCCCCATTGATGCCATGCCATATGACTCTCATGCCTGCTTCACAATTAGTGTACAAGACTTTAGTGATCCTTCAAGCTCCTTCTCTCTGACGCAAGGCCTGCCCTCGAAGAGCCACCGTGAACATGGCATGATCACTTCTTTTCATGCGAAGTGTTGCTATGCAGTGTAAATACTTGTCACCAAGTGTGATACTGCTTTTGCTCCAGTCATGACAGTTTTAATCCTTCTAATTGAAAATGAGAGCAGAGATACTTGTTCTCTGGTTAGTCGGTAACAAGGAGCATCGTGTACATGCTAACATACATTCATACAACTATGAGAGAGAGAAGCAAAAGCACTGACTTCGCATGTGTAGCCACATCTAGTGAGCAATGTAAGTTGCATATACTACAATACCGCACATGATTACAGATCAACGTCAAAATTTGAGCTGCCCAACAGATTGCATTTGCTCCTCTCTAGTGTATAATGCTTTAGCACAATCACTGGTAACGTAGCACCGAAGTAGCAACGCACAAGTAGCACTCTAACCCCATTGTATGTTTTTGTTGATATGCTGCAGGAATGCCGCTTTCACAGAACACTAGTGTGAATGATTTGTATGTGGCTAACTTGATGTAGATTTTTGTTTTCTCTGAATACTGTACCATGCTAGTTGTTCTCAACGCCAGCAGACCACTTCTGCGTATGGTCAGTATCGCGTTGTAAGGCCAGGGCTCGGGTTTTGAGGTGTACAATAGTCATGTTTTATAAGCAAGTCCCGTTCTTGAGACCGGGGAAGGGAGCACTGCTGGGACAACGTGACCAGAAAAATGCGTTGTTTTGCCTCCTTGAAAGTGTACCTGTATGTGCAAGCATTTTTCCCAGCTCCGTAACGCGGATAAATTTCTTCTTATAGGCGATAGACTGACGTAGCAGTCCGCGGCGCAATCGTAAAAGATCTGCACGTCTTTCGCTCACCAAAATATCAATTCTACCTCGTATCTGTAAAAACTTTTGAAGCGATTCGAAAAAGTCTCCAAGATGGGTTTGGTCGCACGATTTGCAATCTTGTTCCTCTCTATTCATGCGGTATTGGGGCACTCCCTCCTGGGGGATCCAAAACCTGTGTCAGCAAACGTAGGCGACGACAAGCACAACCTTCCCTCTTTCTTTGGTGCTCCATATTTTCCTATGTTCGTTGACATGTACTCATTCTATCGTTCCTCTTTGTGCGCAGCACTGTCGTCTGGGGGGCGTACCAGACAACGCCGGGATCGAAATATGTCCTGGTCCTTGTGACATGAGGCCGCTGTATCGTAACGGAAGGGTCCGCAAGCCGAAAGCAACGGCGACATACGAGCGGGGAGAGCTAGTGAAGATCAAATACCAACGTAACAACCACGGCCCTGGGGGGTTCGTTAGGCTTTCAATAGTGACGATCGAGCAGATGATGAACAAGACTGCTCATGCGGCGAACGCGTTCCACTTCGGCTGCTGGGGTGACTATACAATAACGGGTACGAATAAGGACAAGCGGCGGCGAAATGGAGGATTCTCGCTGGTGGGTGGGGACAAAACAAACCCCCCAACCTACTACGAGACTCGGGCAGTTATTCCTCCATGCATACCCGATGGGATTTATGTGCTTGGGTGGGCGTGGTATGGGGGGGTCGGAGGATCGTTGAAGCAGAATACTGTACGAAGCCCGTTTGGAGAAGGATTATTCGCAGATTATTGGTCCTGTGCATTTGTGGAGATTAGCGGCGGGGAACCTCTGACTGACAGTTGTACGCCCGTGTTTGTGAACCCGTTAGAGCGATTCTGGCCTAACGGGTGTAACGCAGCGACAGACCGACCGGGTGTGTGCACTTATGAACCGTGCCGGGGACCTGCAAAACAGCAAAAGCCGATGGAGTTTGCATCCGGAAACCCGCCACCAATCAGGCAAAACAACTTCATTGGAGCTGATGGAGGAACAGACGGCCCAATACCGACATTAGTACCAGACGAGGAGGTGTTTGAAAACGCGGTTGGAGCTTTGAAAGATTGTCAAGCAGAGTTGAAAGACCCGCCAGAAGAGACGGTGAGAGGGGCTACTAATCAAGTGCTAAAAGATCTGTACCAATGTCGAGTAGACCTGGATGGGATGAAGGACATGGGGCCGTTGATGGCCGAGACTTAAGATGGTGTACGAAAGTAGAAATAGGTTGTGTTAGTGGTGCCTCTAGGAGATTAAACAACAGTGTTTATTCTTACAGCGTTGACTACTTTATGTTGAACTGCTCATATCGTAAGCACTCTTTGTTTGATATGCAATGGATTAATCAGTATATCAGCGATTCAAGTGAAAGGCACAAAACAGTGTAGAATGTATGCGTTTGCCGGTATGTCATGTCGCAAAATAGTAGTGTAGTAGTGTTATGTACGCGGTGGCAAGAGGGTTATGCAAGGTGTGACAAGGCATAGTGTGGAGCGCCTTAACAATAGTAGAAGTGCACTTTAACCGCGCTCGTGAGGCGTGTCAATCATTAACGAGGATCAGATATGTTTTGAAAACCCCCTCCAGTGGGTTTTACTTGCCCGTGATGCTGCACTACTGTGAGAAAATAATGCCTTTCCTGCGACGCTCGCGACCTTCTGCCCATCTCGTTAGTAGTGTTGCAAAGAGCTTGGCTAAGTGTATTTCTACGCTCCAGCTCCAGCTCCAGCCGCTGCCCCTGGCACCTTTGCGCTGCAGCCCTTTACTATTTATGATAGCCCCGGCAGACAGCTGGTACAGTACACAACTGCATACGAGCAACAGCTGTGCAGCTGTATGCAGCCACAGTACCAAGGGTACTGCACAACATCCTTAT